TTTAATTAAACTGAGTGAACACAAAGTCATAGCCGTTAAGTGAGGAAGTTACTGATTGACTACCAAGATTCACTGATGCTATATTCAACTTCATGAACGGCATTATGATCCAGGACATGCGTTTCTTCCTGTTTGGGGCTCGTCAACTGGATATATCTGCAAACCAGTCAGTGACATTGTTCCCAGTGAGAGTCGAACCTGGTATCCACTGTTTTAAACACCGAAACGTAATCCACTAGGCAACTAAGGTACGATAGCTACCTCTGTTCAACGGGTATCAGTTGCTGCTATGATACCTGCAGTTTTCCATTACTATGCAGGGCCGAAGGGCTCGAAATGTGTTGGGAGATGGGTTCCTATGCGGATGCCTCGATGCTGCCAGATATTCATATTGTCCTATTTATCTTTTGGTGACTAGCCATGAAATCCAGAACGCATGTTTGAGTTCAATATTTAAAACCGAGCAATTAAAAAACAAAAGAGACTACCAGTTTATTTTAAGAGTAAAAACTGGGCACTGTGATAGCTTTTAATTGCATTTTAGTTCATTTATAAAACGCATCGAATAGTGAGAAGTATTATTTACTGGATATGTTTGTTATTAACAGTTATATCAAGGTAAAGAGAGAAAATCTTGGAAGGCTTTTCCAAGTAACGGAAAAAGGTACTGAAGGGTTCTTACTGCATGTGGCTACTGTGGATTTAATAAACAAAGCTCCATGTATTAGTCTCCTTTCATCCTGTCGGGTTAGCTTTTAGGATTATCACCGTACCCTAACTTATTGTGTTGTTGTTTTTGGTTACGTGCACTGATATACCTGAGGTTTACTTTAGGTTTACTACCTTACAGCTGTCAATCATTGTCAGTTTAACCAAGTTTTCATCGGGCAACTCTGAATTTTGATACAACTGAGGTAACGATGCACTTAAAATATTTAAATAGAGGAAAAAACCAAACTGTGTATCTGGTGACCTTTTCCATTTAAGACTGAAGTAAACACAACCTAATATATGAATGAACTGCAGATGTGGTTTAACAGATTGAGCATCAAAACAGGAAAAAATACCAAAATACTTCGGTGAGACGTTTCTAGAGTGATGTAGAGGAGCGAAACGTGTAACAAGTACATTCATCTATGCCTTCTGGCCGGATTGTAGACTTTTCACTTAACTAGTTAATAAAAAGATTTATTCTAGGTTTTCTCTCCTCTCCTGGTCACTGGTTGCCATCATTTATAGGAAAGGTCAGCCATTATTAATCAGTCGCTTTCTTTCTTTTTCTTAGTATCTTGTGCGATTAGTCTAAAGAGCTTTCTGCTCATAACTTGTACAATGCAAAAAATAAAAGACCATAAGCATGGTATGGATATATTTACGTTCAGCTTAGTTTTGCTAAGTTTTTGACACCACTAACAAACCAGTTAGGTTGGGAATTCATATGAATAACTTCCATCCTAACAATCCCTAGGAGTGGTTAGACAATAAAGATCTTACAAGAAGGGATCTAAATGACACTGGTTCTTTATAGACTTAACTGAATGTTAATGCGAATTACAGTTATAGCTGGAATAATTTCATGCAAACGAGGAATCGGAGTATCAGTGGCGTATAAGAAAATATAGTTGTAAGTAAATTTACTTTATCAAGCTTAAATATGGTAGAAGGTTGATCGCTAGTCACGAATATATGCAATCAGAATCGATTAAATATTCAGGTTAACTGTTAATCTGGGATCAAGTTTCTCTGGATTCGATAAAGTTGATGAATAAAAGGGTTACGATCGACAAGGCTACCAAAAATGAACAAAACAAGAAAATTAAGCAATCCTGAAGACTAATTCAATCATACAGCTTAAAGTGAAACACTTAAGGTTAAATATCAGGTCTTCAAGAATACTAAACAGTTATCGTGTTAACCCTGAGCTGCAAATTATCTCTGCTATAGGTAAATGATCACTGTTGTGGAGACACAGTTTCATTATTTTTTAATTCATACATTTTGCTGTTATCGAAACCTGTCCAATTGAATATGGCTTCATTTCCGCTTAAGAATAAAAACTGATGTGTCATCAAACAAGCATTAAATAAAACTAGGCCGATGAGATACTTCCATCGTTTCGATTCAACTTTTTGTTACTGTAGAGAATATAATGTCGTCCCAACTACGTCGAAACGCGCACCCTGGATTCCACCACTAACCACATACATCATTGAGACAGTATAATGCCTAAAGACGTGCACAAATAAAAATTTTGCAAAATACTGGTTCGAATTTAAATCATCAGACAGAATGAAGCCAAACTTAGCAAAAGACACTTACTTTTGCCTAGCTGTTTAGTATCCTCTTCAGGTCGCCATAAGGGTTTGTCATTATTTCTTAGGTGCATGACTGAAGTCAAAAAGGAGGCCTTCTATTCCATTATTAATGAAACCATTATTATCGAAAGATCTTATGTTAGCTTCGTCTTATCTGCAAGACATTTCTTTAGACTCACTCGAGCAAACATTTTAGACTGAAATCCCTTAATTTCGTAGGAGTGTCAAGAGGAAAGTTCCTCTGAATCAAATGAAAGGCTATAAAACGGTTTGTAATGGTACTTAATTTCCTGTTTATATTAAGTTAAAAAATTGCGTTATGGCCTGCAGTTCGGTGTCATTGATTGGGCCGAAGTGGTAAGCCGCTGTTAACAAGTCGCGTTTTGTCCCATTTAGGACTCGTCAGCTGGAAGTACCTGCCTCTTATCACATGGTGGATTTCAATGTTCTCCACTATCCTTCATTACTACCAAACTTAAATTACAGATAACATCCAGGCATCCGCACAGAAGTTCATATATCAATGGAAGTCGATCAGTTTGGTTCAACCAACGATGCAGAATTACATGTAATAACAAATAAACTATACCCGTCACACGAAGAGTAACTACAGTAACTCACTGGCCTAATGGATAACACTCAGACGTTTGAAGTGATCTGTTTTGGTTTCGAGTCTTAGAGGGGAAACATTGTTCACTGAGACGCAGGCATATCCGAGTGAAAAGTTTCAAATAGGATGGAATGCAACATTGTAGATTCCACTACTAGCCAATATGCATCATTACTATTAAAAAATCATCCAGAAAAAAATTCATTTGACTGGAAAGGTAGTATATAACAGATCCCGAGAATATCTATTCCAAATAAGATATTCATACAATACACAGTATTGATCATTCATAACATTAGGTGTAACTAAAATCATTGTGTTTTCATAAGGCTAATGAAGTGTATTAATTCTCACGAAAATTATTTACGTAACAGGAGAATTTTAGAAAAATATTATATAGAAGCCAACTGCATCATGCTTGTTCAAACAGTATCTTTCTATTGTGTGAATTCATGTGTGACTGTTTGTATAGCGTTGCTGTTAAGATTCGTAATGACTGTACGTTGTTGAACATCAGTGAGTTGTTGTGAATTATAGTGAAAGGGCTTTTCAGTCCTAATTTTGTTTCAGTAGGTCTCTCAACTTGTAAGTAGTGTTTTTTCTGAAAAATAATTTATAATTTGGTAGATTCATTAACTTTGAAATTGCGATGGTAATAATGTCAATCTGATTAGGATAATTTCAAATGAAAAGCATTCCTGGACGAAATTTACAGGTTAACAAAATTTACAACATTTGCTTTTGATGCTTTTCTCCTGGTTGTATCAAAGACGTTAGCTGATTTATCCTTTGGTCATCTTGTCAGTAACGAAAGCAATCTAAACTCCCTGGAAATCTATGAAATATCCAGGTTAGATTTTAATTATTTTCGTGATAAGATATGGCTTAAGTCTTTGGGTACTAGATATTTTGGGGTTCTTGGTATCTGTGTTGGGAGTTAATTTCCTATATGCTCTAAAAGGAAGCGTAGCTTGATAGGTATTTAACCAGAATGATGATGCATACAAGTTAAAGTCATACTGAATAAAGATAAAATATGAAAAAATATAGTTTATTAGGCAGTTTTCATGGGTTTCAAACAAGTAGTAGTTCAATGTCCTTTCCATGAATTTAACATCAATTTAAGTATATTTTGACGCCTTTAAAGCTAATCTAGCTTTGAACAGTTTGTCAACTGAATGTCACCGTCATTTATGATAGACACAGTCCTTTCCTAAGAATTTCTTCATGTGACGTTAAACGCTATGCAGTTGAAGGTAAGAAGAAATAGAGTAATTCTTAATTAGTCTTATAAAAATTGCAGATTGATGCTACAGAGATTACTTTTTCAGTCAGATGAAGCTTTCTTTTGACTACCTTTGAAATACACTTCAGCTAGACTTCAATAAAAAAAAATTCCAAATTAAGACAGAGAAAGCATTTAATGTGCATCCTATCATAGAATCAGTAAGCAGGAAAATCAACAGTCCTTACCGGTTTCCTGCTAATGTGGGGTTTTTCGACGAGAAAATGATAGAGAAAGGAAGTAATTCTGTAACCTAGTCTTACACATTTCATATCCGTCATGCTGTTTCTGGTAAAAACGTTTTCAAGTAATTATTATCACTACCGCGGGCAATCTATCTTTTACATGATGTTTAACTTCCAAAATACTCTTCTCTTTAAATATTCACTTTTCAGTGTTCAATGAATATTTTACAATGTTGTTTTAAAAGCAGATAAAAGAAAATTAATGAAAGTACGTGATTCCTATTACTAAAAATCTAAAGAAAAGCACTTTTCAGATTATTCAACAGACAGGTGAAATTATGTATGTACATAAGAAGAAAATATGAGCAGAAATTTCAGAGATTTGCCTTGGAAGAACATGTTTTCATTACCGCAATGTGAAAGATAGTTTAGCGAGTCTGAGAAACATGATCGAATATACGAGAGATATGCTAAAATTAGAATAAAACCATGCAATAATGAAAGTCATTGTTCATCATATTAACAGAATAACTTCTGAAAATGGGTGACTAAGTGGTTAATGAACGAATGATCGAATAAATGTGACATGATAGGTGATTGATTATTTATACAAAACTTGTTTGGAAATAAGGTGATCTTTCAGAATTGGCTCTTTGCAACAACGGTTTTTGCAGTAATGGTTTACTTATTTTATTGCTTTCTGATTCAGTATTTTTTGACAGGTGTAAGTTATCATTTTCATGTTGAGAATTTTCTTTGAATAATGATGTAGTTTTTGTTTTATTAAAGTGAACTTTACCACTGTTATTATTTTCCTGACTTGTGTTTATAATATGCAGTTTATTTGAGTTGACTCGTTTTATCGTAGGAGTTACACCACCAATCGAATCGGTCATAGATGCACAGTTATCTGGTGAAGTGTTCATGTGTGGGATTTTTAGAAATCGTGTGTCTATAGTTTGATAAATCCCCTGAGAATATGTATCATTTGATTTTGTATTTTGATGGGGTGTCTTCCATGGCACGACTCCTGCATTTGGTAGATTCACCTGTATGTATGTTTGGTTCTTCGGTAGTGAGCGTGGCGGTGACCAAGGGTTAAGACAAATAGGAGACTTCACTGGTTGAAAATTTTGCTCATGGAATAATGTGTCATCGGCTGGGATTCGACATTGTATTGGTCTAGTTTGTGGAGAAGACATAGATACACCCCGTAAGTGACTGTCGGTTGTTCCTAAGTTTGAAGGAGTGAAAGCAGTGTAATTATTCAATAATGTTGACGAACTAGGGGTTTGACAGTCTCAAGTGAGATGTCATAGGCTGCTTCACTGGGATTAGGTCCTATTGGATGGTGATATATCATTTCTTTTGCGTAATAATCCGGGTTTGGATGAATATGGTGAATACTGACGGGAAATGCATTGAATGTCTAAAAAGCATTAAAAGGTACACAATGCCTATCACCAAATCAAAGTTAGGCATAAAAGTTTTAAATTTCTTGTTTTTAGGCATACAGTTCACATAAATCTTTTAAAGGAAGGTGATACCATTTAAAAAATCACTGAAGTGTGATAAATTCACGCAAGCTTTCATCTTTGTTTAAGGTTCCTCAATTAGACGACTATGTAAGGTTAAGTTTTTGCTATTCACAGCTCCAAACATTTACAAAAACTCTCTTTGTTATTGTCTTAGGCAGATAATATCCACTTTTTTGTCTTATTTGTGTATTTTACTTATTCTAAGTTGGCATTTGGCACGAACTGAAATCAGTTAGAGAAACACTGAAAACCAGCAAGCAGCGAACAGCTGTTTCGTCCTGATATGGGAGTCCTCATCAGTACGCAACCACGAATCCCCGGTCACGGATGCAACCCAGGACTTTCGAGCTCGGTGCTTCGGTAATACTGTTAGGTCACTGGGTCTGAACCCAATGGTTCATATTCTCCTACTTCCGTCAACTGGAGATATAGCGTGGCCTCCATCCAATGCTGTCGTTGAGTAACTGCTCTCACATCCTACCTGGTTTATTTATATATTTATTTTTATCATACTGTTACCTCACCGTTAATTACTATTGAAGTTTATGCTTCAGAAAAAAAGACTTTACGCATTTCAGATCTACAGTTAGTGATAGTATAAACAAGTGGGATGCAGGAAAATGTCAACGGATGTCGTTATCAATGCAACAGTGTTTGCTGAGGTTTATCGATGAGGTTTGGAAGATGACAATTAAGCTGAGTGACACGAAATCGAGGAACACTGTGTTGTATGTATGGAGTCAATTGCAAAGAATTTTCGTTCGACCTGGGTCTCCTGCTTATTGACATTCATGGACCATGTGTAGGCCTGTATCCCATGAAAAATGTGAACCTGTATTACATAGTGCCGTGGTTACGTAATGTACAACTAGGAGTTTGTCAGCCTAACCGCCATGAGAAGCGGATATGCCATACGTCATTATCATTCTTATGATTGCTTACATCCGTTTCAAAAATTATTCAATTGCTTCTCCTTCTTTCTAGCTTATTAGAAAAAGAATAGATAACAACCCACCACAAAATGGAAAAGTGAGTAATTCATTATTAAGACAGCTATTAGATAAAAGCGAAAACATGGAATCCTATACCATCATCTTGCGTAATCATTTTTATTTTTCTGAGTATTTTTTTAATGATTACCTCAAAACCCCTATAAAATTGTCAAGTTATTTCAGGATACTCATCTAGAGGACCATTATCATCAAGTTCTTGTTAATAATAAAGTTTAATAAAATGAAGAAAGAAAACTGTATTCAAAAAGCAGAAGTTGAACGAAATAGAGATAGAGGGCGTTTTTGTTCACAGAGATTCTATACTGATTTAGTTTGATAGCTTACTGAAAATATTATAGGAGCTCGTAGTTAAAAGCATGCAACTCGATGCAATTGGCGACCATTCTTCTCGGTGACAGGCAATTATACTTGATCTGTCAAGTAATATATTCAACATTTATGATTGAGATAAAACTGGCGTATGTATAACCTAGCACAACAAGAACCAATACTGATGTTCCTGCAGGAGATTGTAGGTGACGGCGTCGTTGGAAGGTATTTAGCCACTTTTGTCCAGTAGTAGTTGAAATCCCTGTTTGTTCGAGGTAAATTCAACAGTTGGATCTGAAAAATTAATCCTAAGAAACTCCAGGTTTAATAGATTTTTAAGTCTATTTAAGCGGAGCTGCATGACATCAGAAACAAAATAAATGCTCCGGATCAGAGAATATTATCTACTAGTGAGAACACAGAGAGAACTTATCCTTAATGGCATATCTAACGGCGATTACTGTGCAATATCACTTTTTGTATGTTAGATCAAGATTTATGTTGATTACCCTGCAGCTGAATTAGGTTGTGTGAGATTACCAGCAGGACTTCATGGGTATACAGTGTGCCATCAAATTAACAGATCAAAAAGATTTCCAGCTTGGGGTGAAAGTTATCTATGATGCTCTGTAAACTTGATTGTTGGGTTATTAGCTTTTTTCCTGAGGTTATGATATTTATTTGCCAACAAAAGTCGTAAAAAGTTGTTTGGTAAACATATGCAATTGAATGCCACAGTTCAGACAACTACAGGGGAATACTGCTGTTGAATGAGCAGTAGTTCAAGCAAACTCATACTTCTAGGATATTTGAATCCTTGATCGTTAATATTGCAGAAGTTGTTCCAACACATTTTCTTGACAGATTTTGATAACCATTCAAGATAAGAGCACAGAATTCATGATCACTGTAAAATTGATTCTTCCAGTTTCCAGTACCTTATTCAGTGACTCCAGTTACACGGCCATTTGTTTAAATTATCGGTTTGGTGCTGGCTAACAGCGGAATCTATAACCTGAATTTCATCCGATTTAGGACTTTCATCCAGTTGTACTTACTGGTATTTTACTCTTGTTGAAGTTAGGGGTTTAAACTTATTGCTTCAAGTCTTATTGTTACTAAGATGCTGGGCCGTGACAGCCATATATATGAAGTTAATATCAGTAGCTCTTTAGATGCTATAAATCACCTTTGTTCATGTTAATGCAATCACTTGATTAACCTGTCTCTGCTAATGCATTTCTTCATAAAGTTACCTGTGTAGTTTCATGAGTTTTATTTCTGTGCTTTCGGTTTGTGGCAGTGGCTCTCATAAATCAGTAGTCTAGTTAGTGATACTAGAATGTCTGAAGTAATGAATGGAGTGTTTAAGTTTCTTAGAGAACTCCAACGTAGGCAAATGCAACCAACTAGTGAATCTCAAATAGCAGAAATGCATATTCTAGACATTCCTGTTAAATGATATCAAACAAATGACGCTAAGATAAAACGCATGAAAACTTCGATGCAACTCTAACTAAGTATCCACATACTGATAGAGGTTGGCCATGTTGGTTCAGTAAACAACAAAAGTTGCAAAAACTGAACAATCATTTAGTCATGTGCCTAACTCCCACTAATCACCAGTTTTGAAAAACTTTTTCGCTAAAACTGAAAGGAAGTGGAAATCACTTGGGGAGTGATAGAAATGATAGAATTCCGATTTAAAATTATCACAGCGCTGCTATAATCTGCTGTGTAACAATTTTTGTTTTCCATCCATAGAATTTTTGCAAGATGTATTCGTTTCCTTTCATTAGTATTTTTTCGCTACTCAAGCTTGGTTAATGGGTATTGTAACATAAATAATTTGTAAAGAAACTCACTTGGTCGACTCTTCGACAGATGATATACATATAACAATCTTTTAACAAAACTTTTATTTATAAAAAAGAAATATTTGTAAAATCCCAGTAAGGTAGAGAAACAAATATGTGATGTTTCGAAACCTTGTGGTAGCCGCTCCCTCAGCGAATGAAACCTGTATAACTTATTGGATGTTTATTTAGTAAATGGAAACAAATCAGATAATGTTGTTCGGACATGCACATAAAAGTGGTGATAACAAGGTGGGATTAAATGTTTTTCTCATCAACTATTAGTTCTTGAGTTCAAGGTAAAGATGTGAATGCATGTACATAAGTATACAGGTGTGAATGAGTGTGCGAAAGGTAATATTGCGATGAAAAATAGCGTGAACAGCAGTTGAACTCATGGAATAATAACTGATGTAGATAACATTTAACGCCATCTTGTTATCATCATTCTTATATGCTTATATAAACAATGTGGTCTGATTTGTTTCCATTTACCATTTAAACAAGTGACAACTTGTACAGGTTCAATCTTCTGAAGAAGTGGCTCCCAAGAGGTTGCGAAACGTCAGAAAATTATTTTTCTACCTCATTGGGACCCAATAAACATATTTCCCTTATAATCCATTTACCAAACGCTTACTTTACTCACTTTCATAGGGTTAAGCCATAATCCTAAACTCTATAAAATCCTCTCATTGTTTAACTTATTATAAACCTAAATCAAGTATAGTTCGGAGCAATGTTTTTGCTTTATTTATTTCATGATTATAATGTGTTTACTATTTTAATCAGTATATTTACGCACATATATATCTTACAAAATACTTGGTTGAACTAAACAAATACTTCTACTCACCTTTGTTTTAGACGGTGTCGAACCAGTTGAATTCAGACTTTTCATCCCAATAGTCGAGTTATTTTGATTATTCTGTTCTTCTTTTGCAAAATCTGCAATGTAAAACGAAAATTTGTTGAAAATATTAAATAAGTTTTCTATTTATTTTATCAAAAAAGAATATAAATATACATACTTTTTCAAACCATGGAGTTTGAAAATGCTCCTGTTTTAAGGTAGCGGTTTAAAGATGAGTTCAAACAAAACTTTTACAATCTGTCTGAATTTATCACTAAGATATGCTTACATCTTCAGCATTAGTATAGCGAAGTGTGCTTTCAACTTCAAGGTTATACTTTATAGTATGCTGATTTTATTTACTACTCAGTTCATTCTGATGAAGGGAACATAAGTCGATAGTAAAATCATGAAGCTTATGCCAGAATCATATTGATAAAGGACAGAGTTTTAAAGTCCCTTTAATAACTTTCTTTATAGTGTTATTGCTTATATTATACCATCGTTGATTAGACCAAAATGATCGGTGTCTATTGGCATATAGGCTTATGTGCGGATGCCTCGATATACCTGTGTTCTAGTTATAATAAAGATGGATAGTGGCTGGCAGCGGAATCCAGAATGAGCATTTCGTCTTATTCGGAACTCCTCAGCTGGATGTACCTGCCTCCCAGTGAGTGATGTTGTTCCCATCGGTACTCGGACTCCGGAGCGATCGCTTCAAACGCAAGAGCGTTATCCACTACACCACCGACCCATGATAGCCACTTCTTGTTTGATGGGTATAGTTTTAGTGTTATTGCTTGAAATCTCGGTAGGAACAGCATTACTCACTGCGAGGCAGAAAAGTTTAGCTGACGAGTCCCAAATAGGACGAAATGCGCATCTTGGATTCAACTGCTAGCCACTATCTGTCTTTACTGTAACTTGTTTATCGTTGAAATACTTTGAAATTTATTGATCAAGTCCACTGTAAAATGAGAATAAAAACAACTATATGCAGACAACTTGATTCCAAAATGCTTCACGCATCTTTTGTAGATTGAAGTTGTTAACAGATGAGGAAAAAGCATGAAATAAAATATGCACATCTTATTCTGCAACTGCCTTCTTCCTTGCTTTATTCAAACAAATGTCTTATTAATTCATTCTGGAGGTTTTGCCAGTTTTATTGGTTTCAATTTGGTACTCATTATGGATTGACATCGGTTTGAAAACCTGGGGGCAGTGGACAGCTGTTTCGTCATAGTAATAGTAGGCCCTATCACTAATTGACAGAAGTAGGAAAATGTTGACCATTGGATTTTGATCCATTGGCTAAATGGTAACGGGCTCGCAGTGAAACCTGGGGGTCCTAGGTTAGACTCTTAGTGAGCGGGGTCGCAGATGTGCACTTCTGAAAGGTTCCATACTACGAAGGCACAGATGACGTACTCCCAGGTTTTCAATGGTTCTATGACTGATATCAGTCCACAGTGAGTGCCAACTTGAAATCTTTTAGTTTAAGTCGTTTTCAAATCCAGTGACACGGAGGTGAGTGAAGTAATAAATGAACCAGTAATATACGCAACGTGCTTAGTTTTAATAGTTCTTGCTCCATACTTTCTAACCAAGCGGTTACAATTTTGAATATTATTCAAAAAGACTTACATGGAATCTTGACACTAAACAAATTATTTTGATATTCAGAGTAAATAGCACAAACCCATCGCACTGATTTTCAGGTTTTTAAAGTGGTCACGATGTAACTTTAGTTTTATACTTGTATATTTAAATCTGCCCAACTTCCTAATTTTTTCTTTAGTCTGTGCTTAGGTGAAATATGTCCTCAAGGTGCGTTATTTCATAGACTTCATTATTAATCTGGGATCAATGTTTCGTTTGTAAAAAGATGATATCACCGTCTTTCTTCATTCACCCTATTAAAAGTATTTTCTAGGACTAGAAATCGTAAACAGATAGTCTGAATGTAATGGCACAGCTGCCATGAAGCTAGAGTATAAAATAAACAATAAAAGGTCTCCTATGAATCTACTCCAACTCATAGAAGACACTAGAATTTAAAACTTTGAGACAAACGTTATACTGTCAAAGGAATGAAATTTTCTCAATAAGTCTAGGGGGTTTAGGCGTTACAACTAGACTATCACTTTGTTTTTATTTTTTCATCGCCTTAAATCCAAACATGACCTAATGAGTTCGCGTAAAGTAGCTTTTTTCCTTTCATTATATTGTGACTCATAATCTGCTTATATACAGGTCAAATTGGTAATAACAGTTCATGGTGAATACCAACCTGAAATCAATAAAATTCCCACAAGCCTCCAAATCAAAATGATGAATTATTTTGTCAAAGATTTCCTAGTCATGGTACCAGTTCGCCATATCCTTTTGTGAACATACTATATTGATATTCACCTTTTAAATATTACTTTCAGTTTGTCCATTGTTTATCCAGATCTGTTTTCAAATGAATTAACGCATCCAATGTTTTCCTCGTAATAAGTTTTATTCAGGTAACCGATAGAGTAGTGAAGGACTGTGGATTCATTTTATCTTTTAACCCTGCATTATTTCCGTTTAGAATAGCAAAAGGAATATGTGCAACAGTGTTAATGGTGATGGTGATAACTTTTCGAGTGAGAAATGATAAGGACTGTTAGTTGATGAGAGATAGTAAATAAAGTATATTAGTAGTTCCCGGTCAACTTGAAAACCTCTTCATTATGTTTTATGAGAAGTAATAATTAATCCTTTGGTTACATAAAGTAAACAGGAATGGATTGATTGATTGTAATAATGAAAAGTTAACAGGTATATAGGAATTCAGTAAACACCTTGAACCATGAATTATTAGTCAAGCTAGTTATAAACAAGGGTATCGCTGAATGTTTCCATGGAAGATGTTACCCTTGATCACAACCATGAAATTTTATTCTGTATTAGACCACTTGAGATAAACTTAATGCTTTCATCATTCTGTCAAAGGAATCTTTTGGGATCTGTTATTTAAACGTCTGTTTCAAAAGATAACAGGAAACGCTTATTAATTTACTGTACTAGATTCAGCATTTGGTTAAGAAATTGAAATCCAAATTACTGATAACTTCAACTGTCGCCGTTTCCTGTTACTTTGTTTCGTTGATAAAACACATGGTAATACAATGCATTCTACTGGATAATTTCCTGAACCCAAGTGGATTATATAAGCGGATAATAACTTATCACTTTGTTGCATCAAATTAACAAAATAACATGGAGTTATACTGTACAACAGTACCTAAGCTCTACATTTATAGGTCATAGGTAGGATATTAACTGATAAACAGCTGTAAACAGCAGTTACAAATTCTTCATTCCATAAAATGATAGCCGATCCAAAGAGGACTTAGTCATGCCTCTATAATTTTAAGCCTTTAATTTATTCACGTAACTATAGAGCTAAACGAATAATTAAAGGTCCTGGTAGTTGTACCGTTTACCGTAGAACTGAAGAGTTCGATTGGAGGTTTTTTGAGTCTTAAATGGATGGTTACCAATTTAAGAAACCGTAGTTTCTTTTAGAGTGCTCACTAGTTACATGAAAGTACTGGCAAGAGACATATCATCCCACTGATATGAAGGTGAAAACCTACTTTAATTGAATTTCAACAGAAAAATGCTGAGCTACTTTATCTTTAAAAAGCTGAAACATATAGTTGTTTAAATCAAGCACTAATTTATTTTGTAGCTTGTATCATTCGGTCACTGACTGGACCTAAGTGATTGGTGTCTAGTGGGATGTGGATCCCTTCACAGATAGCTTAACATTACCTGTCGTTTCTTTTTACAGTAATGATGGATAGTGGCTAGCAGTTCCAAATAGGGTGAGGAGCACGTCCTAGATTTCGCTACTGGCCACTGTCCATCATTGCTATAAAACTGGAACACAGATAATATCGAGGTATCCTCACAGGAGCTCATATGCCAACAGAGACTGATCAACTCAGTCCAATCAACTATAGGATATTTCAAGCAACATCATATAAACTATGCGCGCTGCGCCAGCAAGTAGCTGTCATAACGTGTTGGTTTACTGGATAGAGATCTGGCGTCTGAAGCAATCGGTTTCGTGTTCAAGTCTCTTTGGGAATAATATCACTCACCAGAAGGCAAGTACATTCAGTTGATGAGTTTCAAATGGGACGAGACGCACAGCGTGAATACTATTGCTAGCCACTACCCATCATTATTACAAGCAATAATGTTTTCGAAGTACAGTTTATTCAGTTTCTGTGTAGTTTATGCGAATGAATGTGATTCCTCTTTTCTAGGATGTGTACTTCACCGATTCAACTAAGATAGATGAGATAATTTGTTCCATAAGCCAAATGGGTTTGACTTCCAATAAGTTACCCAGTAAGTTTAGAGGTTACATTACTGTTTATTTCGTTAATTAAATAAATATACCTCACAATTATGAATCATCTGGTCCTGATAGGGACATTTACTAATGTCACTTAGATAACTTATCTGCACTCGCGTTTATTGTCACCTTATTTAACTAAAGTGAAGTTTCTTATGTTCTACATTTGTTTATTCATAGGGCACTGATTTATTCCTTCAAAAATTTAGAGCAGGTATGTTTATTTTAGGTTTTTTGCTTCCTCCTACTCGTTAGATATGTAATATTTGTGGCCTTCAGCAGCTTATTTTCTCTTCCCTTCGACAACCCAAACTTAAGTGTGCTAACTATGGTCACAGGTAAAATCAGCAGGCTTTGGATTATTCATTAGAGGAACGGATATGGTTTAATTGGTGCTTACAGATAGGTTCATGAATTGGTAGAAATGAAGACTGGGTACTACTTATCGACACTTGTTGTGCTTTTCTAAGGTGAAACTATAAAAGAGAAGCTGGGAATTATACAGACGTGTTGCTGATAGTTAACTGACGTTGCTATCCGGCCCTCAGTGATTGAAAGTGAAAGAAGTCTTTCGAATAATTTCTGTAATGTGGTCGCTGGGTGATGTGACGTGACACTGTAGAGCACTATATTTAAGTTGTAGAACTAAAGATCAAACAGATACATTCGTTACCCAATAGCGACCAGCTTATCAGTGAGTGACACAAGTATGAGTTACTGGGAAAACACCAATTTCCTCATGGCTGCAGATATTTCCCACTGATGAGTGCCACGAGTCACGTGATATGGGCTCAGCATTTAGTGCATGTTGGCTCCTATCATCCTACACCAAAACTTATGACTACAACTCTCGGTTTGGTTCTGAACTGTAGTAGTAAGTGCCACAAACTCAAGGACGTATAGGTCATATTTTCAAGAACATAGTTTACAGTTACTGTTCGTCATCATAGTAAGGATATTTGTGCAAATTTATTGAATTTTTACCACTTAGATGCTAAGAAATAAATCGTTTAAATGAAGATTTGCATTCTGAAAAGTTTATGAGCCAACCAGACACGGTTTATAAATTCCAGTTTGCATTACCTTTATAAATGTAGTCATGTAACGAAAAAGTAGATTAGTCTATTTTAAATACAATGTTCATATCACTTCTTCTAATGGAATAAATTCGGGTATATTTATTAAATAAATAAGCGCAGTCACTACAGTGAACGTTATTTAATAGAGAAGTACACGGGTTTTGAATGTTGCTACCAAAAATCTGAATAAATATAGGGTCAGAACATAAATTTCTTTGACTAGATATGTTATAAATAATTTAGGAGGTATGGTAATTAAAAAGCCTTAATTTGTTACGCAAGTTATATATATATATATATATATATATATGTGTATATATATATATATATATATATATTACTGCAGCCAGCCATTTACAAGGCTATCCTCATTAGTTATATGAATTAAATGTTTGAAAATTACTAATGGATAAATTTCAGTCATATGACATCAGTGTCATAAAGTTGTTAAGTTTTAACTTCTCAGATATTTATTTTCTATTGGTTCTGAGTCAGAAGTATGTAGAGTTGTATAGGAGATAGAAGACTAGGATATTTTCTTCGGAAAAAAGCATCTGTCGGGGTTTGGAAAAGTTATTTGTCTTCCGTTAGTTTCTGCAACTTTCAGTCTATGTTGAGGGCAATAAAGTTAAGCTTCAAATACAAATTATGGCATTTAACATGAAATTATACTTATGCAAAATAATTTTGTTTATCAATTCACCAATGACGTACTCATCAGTTTTAACTTCATTGATTAGAACCACAAAGGTCTGGTTGGAATTTAAGTATCATAGAATTTTTCTAATGATTTTAAAAGCAACAATCTTCTTACAATCGGAACTGTAGATAATTATTTCGCTAAACATTTGTCAGGTTAAAAGTTGAACCCACCTTTCGACATTGTCGATGTTGTTACTGCTGGTGATGTAGTGTCAACAGTACAGCGTTTTGTTAGAATAATAGCGACCAGCAATAATGCACACAGTACTCCAGCAATTGAAGCCATAACAATAATAATCAATGTCTGGTGGCCATATCCATAATTTGATTTGAGATGATTTGATTTATGCAGGTGTGAAGTTGAAGTTGATGATTGAGAGTACAATAATCCAGCATTTATATTATTATCAATATTCGTTGATCTATACAGATAATCTTTGCCTAATCCATTATCATGTTCAGCATACTTGAAGGTTTTACGTGTTGATTCACCATTGGAATTAGTGTAGTCGAAGTTCGATTGTTTACCAATTAAATGTTCCATACTAAGATGATCTAAACGAGGATTGGTACTTTTCTCTGAGATTCGAAGATTAGGGTCGCTTCGAATAATAACTGTGAAATGAACCTAACCAGAGAAAAAAGAGAAAAATTTAGTGTTCAGTTGAGGGGATCAAGTTAAATTTATCAATGAGGTTTATACTGGAGAACTTGAACTCCATTTACTCTTCATATATGACTGCGGTGCTGGCAGTTGCTTATATTAGATAGTCAGAACGATTACAGAGGGAATTCCTTTTAGTGGTGAACAAGCGTATGCACTGACCATACTCGATACTAGGTATTAGGTCTCATTCAAAATGAAGCGCGGAAATGAGGATTTGTACTTTCTGACACCCATAAGTAGCGTATCTGAAATCCTTGGGAAACTGATGAATCTCTATAGACTGGAACTTTTGTCACTTACTGCTAAAGTGTGAAACTTTCCAATCAATCTATGAAAACCACCATCGAATTGCTGTGGGACTAAATGATGTAATCAAAATGGGCAGTCAATAATGTAACTGTCCGGGTCTATCTCTGAGATTTGAAATAGGGTTATGCATAAGGCTAAAATATTTTTACCGATAACAAGGGTTCTCACTAGTGAGATTTTGACCGTATTTTATCGCTTGAATATTACAATAACCGTCAACAGAATGTATAGTAACAATAAATGTTTACTTCTTATAAACACTCTGATCAATCAGAAGTTCCTTTCTGCTAGCTCGAGTGAATTACAGTTCGGCAGCTCGGTATTATCGTCAAAGCTGAGCAACCATGTAATCCACTCAGAGTACTGGTCTGATAAGGTGTACCTAGAATATGATTGTCGCACATGTCTAGCAGATCAGCCTGAAGAAAATGAGGATAATATTTTTCTTACCACTTGTTCTTTGTTATTTAATAAACTTTCAGGGTTTCGTTTTACTCCCTGATGGTTTCATATAACAGAAATATATGTACGCCAATCAGTAAGAGGTCCAGTAGACTGTTATTCATGACTCTCATCTAACAGCTCATTTGTAAATGACAGAGTATACTCTCAACAAATTGGTCGTGGTATCATGACTGATGTAGTTATGAAGTCCTGAGCAGTAGTTACTGTCTATCTATATAGTATGTAATTTAGCCACTAAGTTAGTTGAAACTGTGCTTCGCCACTACACATCGAAAATAAAACTGCAAGGAACACTGCTTGACGTAGTTTTCATGACTGTCGGTGCTCATCAGCCAGGTGTATTTAAATTAAGACAAAGAGTGTTTTCTGGAAGCTTCAAAATGACGTCAGCAAGACCTGAACCTAGAGACATTCACTAAGACTATGTGAATAGATAAGATTTAAAAGTAGAAATAGAGAACTACTGAGACTTATTCAATTAAGATACTCTAATATACCACCGACAAAACCCTATATATTAATTTATCTCATTTCATATTTCTGAGAACTATATTTGGATAAATATATTGATATTTGATGTTGATGAAGTAAATTGCGCATTCCTACTGGTGGCTCAATGGAATAACCATGTTTTTGTGGAAACGACATTATCAGAAGTGATTGTGTAGACATTCCTAATCACTAGGACCTTATGCTCTTCTGTGGTTTCCTATCAGTAGTTCACTTCTTGAATAATTGCATTTAAATAGAAAGTGGATTTAGGAAACATCTAAAAGTATAGTTACTGGCTTATTTTTAAAGGAAACGAATGAATATTTTAAACCTGGTTAACTAGTTCACTTGTTACTAGCCGGTCCTAAGCCCCTATAAAGAGGGAAGATTGGGCATAGGGCCAGCAACCCTACCCCCTAAAACAAATCCAACCGCTAAACAAACTTCAAAGCACAAACAATATATAAAAAATAGAAACAAAATTATTCCTTGCTGGAATCGGAGGGGCGAAATGACACCAGTTGGTGAAAGCCTTCGGGAAGCCAATTGGCCGATGTGTCTTCTCTCGATGAAAGCGAGAGTAAGCTGAGCACAGCGACATGGAGTGTCTGCACGATGTTTGAACCTAGCTGGCAAGGCAGCCCAGATTGCAAAGGAGATGAGAAGGTATCACATTGAAGTGCTTGGAATATGTGAGGAATCTGCAGATGGAATGGAAGTGGACTCTCCAAACTGTCAACTGAAGAGGAGTCAATAATCTACTCCAACATTGTCACCCAGACGACAACCAAGAGCACACTGAGTCATGAAGTGTCTATCATGATGTCCCCAAGAGCATCGAAGGCTCTCTTTCTCCCATGCAGTGGGAACCAATCTCCTCATGCAGGATCATGACAACAAGATTCAACTCAAAAGGAAGGAAGGTCACAATCATTCAGTACTACGCACCTACAAATATTGCAGAGCAAGAGGAAAAGGAGGAATTCTACAGACAACTGCAATCAACACTGGACAGGACCTCACTCCAGATGGCGATATCAAAATCCTAATGGGTGGGGTGACATGAATGCCAAACTGGGAGCAGACAACACAGTAAGAGAACTAACCATGGATCGAGAAGCTCCCGGTGAGGTGATGAACGAGAATGAGAATTGTTTGCAGAATTCTGTGCATTCAACCATTTGGTGATTGGAGTCAGGCAGTGTGTTCAAGCACAAGGATATCCACAAAGTGACATGGATTTTACCAGACACCAGATGGATACACTAAAAATCAGATCGATTTCATCTCAATGTGAAGAAAGTAGGGACACAGCCTAGTGGACAAAAGATCAGATGAAGAAGGCTAGCAGGGAACCTGCCTGAAAAATCAAGTTGAAAGCCTTCAAGGAAGTTGGTGATAGACCACAGTCCAAGTTCAACACCTAGAAACTGGAAGACGAAACCACAACGGACATCTTCACGGCAGCCAGCCATCAAGACAAAATGGGAGATATCGAGCAACACCCCTAAAGAAACTTGTGTAGAAGAACACTGGAAGTCTTTGAAAGAGATGTGGAAAGAAACCTGCACAGCCGTATTAAGAAAGAAGAAACAAGATAGGACAAGGAATGGATCTCGATGGATACATGTAAGCTGATAGAGGAGGGAGAGGAGGATGGTGAAGTAAAAGATAAACCAGTGCAGTACAAGGGTCAACAACGAAAAGATGAACTGAGTACAATGCATAAAACACTACACTGGACAAGGAAGTGAAGAGTGCGCGCAAGGACAAGAGACACTTCTACGACACATTGGCAAGTGAAGCAGAACAGGCTGCAGGTAGGAGAAACACAGACCTGACAACTTGGGAACAAATAACCAGGTTACTATCTGGGAAGAGATCAACACAGATAAAACCGATAAAAGATGAAGGAAATCTAATCATCAGAGAAGAGAAACAAATTAAACGGTGGGCCGACCACTTCAAGAAGCTATTGAATCGACCACCACCACCACCTGCACTTTGTCCAGAAATACCACCAACAGCTCAGCCACAGAACTGCAAGTGAACGCAAACCCTCCTACGAAAGCAGAAGTCCTGAGCGCCATAAAGTTACTGGAATGCGGGAAAGCGGCGGGATCAAATGGAATCCCGCCAGAAGCACTGACAGCAGACGCAGGGACAACAGCGGACATGCTCACACCACTATTGAAGAAGGTCTGGAGTGAAGGGTAGGTACCTGCCCACTGATTAGAAGAAGGGCTACCTTGTCAAACTCCCGAAGAATGGCGACCTCAGTGTTTGTAAGGACCGGCGTGGAATCACGCTCTTGTCCACCTCAAGCAAGCGAAATATTAAGCCGCATCATCCTGGAGAGACTAAAACCTGCGGTGGATCCAAAACTGCTACCGGAACAGGCTGGATTCAGGAAGTACAAATCATGTGCGGATCAAATTGCAAACGCTCCTCTACGCATCATCATACAAAAGAGCATAGAATGGTAGTCAACTCTCTACCTCACCTCAACTTCATCGACTTTGAGAAGGCCTTTGACAGCGTCCACCGACAAGTAATTTGGCAGGCAGCTGCTTCAACACTACGAAATACCACAAACCTTTATCCGCCTCCTTCAACAACTATATGCAGATGCCACATGCCAAGTAATTCACAAGAGACAGCCCAACTCAGTGATGTTTTTGAAGTGAAGACAGGAGTGAAACAATGCTGATTGTAGTGGACTGGATCATGCAGCAAACCATGAGGAGCAAGAAGTGGGGGAAACGCTGGACCGAGGAAAAGATCCTAGAAGATTTGGATTTTGCCGATGACTTATGTCTGATGTTACACGAACTGGAAGATCTACAGGCGAAAACTAACAAGTTGACAGAAGAGGCAGGGCAGCGAATATATGACACCACTCAAGTGAACGTAGAGAAGACAGAGGTGATGATGATACCCAACCAACGCCACCATCAGCAACAACAACAAACTCCAATCACCATCAACGGGAGAAACTTAAAGGATTTAGCCTCTTTCACCTATCTAGGCAGCATCGTTTCAACTACAGGCGGCACGGACGAGGACGTCAAAACCAGTCAGGATCGTGAAGACAGCAAGACAGGCGTTCATTAGCCTGAAACCAGTGTGCAGATCTTCTGCACTTAACATATCTGATGGTTGAGAGTCTTGGCGCGTTACGAAAGGCATTTCCAACAAACTACAGACATTAATCAACAGCCGCTGCCTACGCTGGCTCGTCACTTAAGCTCAGAAAAAATAAGCAACAAGGAACTCTGGCCTGGCAACGAACCAACCAGGAACCCATCGCTCAACAAATATGCAGAAGGAAGTGTAGATGGATTGTGCGTGTAATGAGAAGACCAATTGGGGACATCACGCGTCAGGCCAGTCACTCGAGTGGAACCCAGATGGGAAACGGCGAGTTGGGCTTCCCAGCTGAGGGTGACATGGATAAGATGGTGTGAAGAAGAAATGAGAGCTTGTGGGCAGTCGTGCAGCCAGGTTGAAAAGACTGCAGAGAAGAGAGTGGTAGAAGGCCGTGTTACTGAAGCCCTATGTTCCATTGGGAACCCATGGGACAAATAATATTAAAATAATAATTGAGTATATGGCAGTGACAACTGATAACAAATTGTGTGTTTAACTACAGAGTATGTTTAGTGTACATATTAAAAGTTAGTTCAGTGTTAACG